CTCCAGATCCACTCCCCGTCTGAGCAGTGGTCACAGCGGTCCTAGATTCTTATACCAAAGCTGAAAAACTTCTATCTCGAGTTTACAGAAACCCAGCTCAATTGAACACACAGCTGCGTGGAAACTGGACCATCACAGGCTGAGAGCTTGCTTCTCGTGCACCCAAGGTCAGGCAGGCTGAGGGTCTGGAAGCTGCACCCTACGGCAGCACTGCACATCTAAGAGCACACTTACTAACATGTAATGAGAAGTACAGCTTTGAGCCCAACCGGAGGCCGGGCCGACTTCCAGCATCGTCTTTCTTCCCCCGGAAAGTAAGTTTTAATGAGGACAAATTTCCTTCGCCGAGTTGCTGTTTGAGCCTCATAAGGACGAGTGTCACTACATTAAGATGGCCTAGCAAGTGCGCCTCCCAGCCACTGACCCTCAGTCTTCAGCATACGGCTCAAGGTTGGAGACTGTCAGTTCCATGGACGAGCACCTGGGGGCCGTTAGATGGGACGATAAGGGTCACAGCGTGGGTTGGCCCGGGGAGAGTCGGTGTGTGCTAGTCTCCTCTGTCTTTGCCACACTCTCTGGCACAACACGAAGGTCTGCCACCCTCTGACCCAGTTGCCAGTTTCCGCGCAGCTGTGTGTTCAATTGAGCTGGGTTTCTGTGGACTCGAGATAGAAGTTTTTCAGCTTTGGTGTAAGAATCTAGGACCGCTGTGACCACTGCTCAGACGGGGAGTGGATCTGGAGAATTACCTGCGTTTACATCTGAGCTGCTCCCCTGGTCAGAGCAAGGGAATGTGCAGGAGGTGCGCTTATGACAGAAAGTTATTCATCCAAACTTTGAGTTTCTGAGCATGTGGAATGAATAGAAGTTGCTAGAACAAAGAAGATAAAACACTCCCATTACTGAGTTACGAGGAGTTTGCTAAGGTCATATGGGTGATGTTTCTTTCTCAATCAACAAATAAAATTAAATTTGTATATATTGGTTATGTGCAACATGATATTTTGACATATGTGTGTATTGTGGATGGCTATACCAAGTTAATTAGCATATGCATCACTTTTCACGTTATCTTTTTTGTGGTGAGAACATTTACAATTTACTCTTTTCACATGGTTTACTGTCACTGTCTTGAGCTTCTTCCTCCTGTGGAACTGAAATTTTGTGTCCTTTGGCCAACATGGCTCTGGTCTCCCCACCTCCTGGGATCTGTCTCTTGAGCTATTCCAATGCAACACATTCCCTCACAGAACCCAGGGCTGAATCTGAAAAAAAAACTGCTGTTTCGCATTGACATCGCCATGCCTTCCCCAGAACTCTGCATAGCTTTTCAGAAAATTAGGGAAAAGTGTAGCTGGTGGCAGACAGCGTCACGGTGACTTGCTCTCGATTGCTCGGGACATGTTTGGTAGGGTCCGGGGTCCTGCTGTCACCACATCCCACGAAAACAGGGATTTCAGAGGTGAATGTTTTGGGGTTGATATTCTACGTCTTGCCACTTCGCAGCTACACCACCTTCAATGACTTACTGAACTGCTCTGGGTATCACTGAACTTCTGCATAGAACAAAAGTGATACATACTTGTTTCTCAGTTCCCGCGTGGCACAGTGCAGTGTGGTCCGCCTCTAGTTCATTGCTTTGCTTGCACAGGGGACATTTCATATTACTCAGCAAAGGACGAGGGCAATGTGCGCTTCTTTCCCAGGATACTGAAAGACTGTTTTTCTTTTCAAGTACCTTTTTCTTTATATCAGAGGGATAATTTTCTTTGTAGAAACCATGATAACACTGGTGATGGTTTTGTGGTGCTGGGATGGGTCCAGGGTCTCACGCACTGCTAGTAAATCTCCAGCCTGAGACTGATTATTCATCCCTTCAGGGTAGGGACCGGCTGTATTCTTCGGACAGGTTTTGAGTGTCTGTAAGCGGAGTCACTGTGGAAAGGGGTAGGAGTGCAAGTCACGGATAGCGGCTGGCTGGGACTTCCGCTGTATCGAGTCTTGCAGGATCACTGCTGAGCAGCAAGTACTGAGGAAGTGTGGTCTAATCCAGGGCTGCTGCGCCGACCCCTGGGAGAGGACGAGACAGCTGGGCCTGGACTGTGTGACTCAGGACCCATTCTAAGGCTGGCGTGCTCTGTCACCAGACACCTCGCTGGGCCTGTTCGCCATCCTCCAGTGGGAATACCAGCACTGTTGCACACTCCACTGAAAGAGTGCTCAAGAGAGAGCAGCCAACAATCACCTTTTAGAGCTTCTGTACTTGCAATTTTGCCCACTTCCTCAAATGTCCCCATAGCCGTCACCTGTCTTCCCGGCCACTCACGCATGTGCACGGGGCAGTAAGCACCTGAGCACGGATGTGCAGGTCCCAGCTGGGGTCCAGCACCCAGGAGCCCTGTCTTCCTGTCCCAGCTCTCCTAACTGTAATGAAGGTCCTTTCTGTGGCCCTTTATGGCCACGTCTTCGGCATCTTTGTGCTCTTTGTTGGTGATTTAGTTGGCAGTTCAGCTCCCAGCCCATCGCCAGAGCTCGGCTCAGTGCTGTCCTTTAGGGGAGGAAGCCTGTGGCATGCCTGGCAGAGGAAATAAGTGTGTTAGCAGATGCAAGTGCTGCTGGGCACGAGTGCAGTACTAAGGCATCAGCAATGTGTCCCAGAAGAGCTGTGGGAATGGAAGCACACATCAAGTAAGGCCATGTATTAGTCATTTGATGGAAACACTGTCACCAGACGCCCCAGGAACCTGCCTGGATTCTCCTAGGACCAGTGCTTTAGCATTCACCCAGTTTTCATGCTGACTTTCTGACAGAAGTACTGCAGATAAGATGTCAGTTACATATAAATCTCTATGTGGCAGTGTGCTAAGAGCTTTGCATGTGTTTTTTATTTTAACGTACAAGCAGCCCAGGAAGGTAGGTGCTATAAACACTCCTGGTTTACAGGTGAGCAGATTGGTGGACACAGAGGCTAATCAACTGGCTACGGTCTCCCAGCAGTGAGGGAAGAGCTGAGGTTGGTGCCCATTGTGAGCCAAGGTGGCAAGAGGATGTTTTAGACCAAAGGGTGTTTGCAATAAGAGGGTGGGATAAAAGATTCAAGCTGGAAGAAGGGAGCAGGCCCCGGGCCAGTTACCAGCATCAGGGACATGCCCAGTGGACGGGAGCTGAGAGCATGTCTTATAAACTTTGGGGAAGGAAAGCATGGTAGCTTACACTGGCTATGGATAAGAGGGACGGACAGGGTGAAGAAGGCAGTGGTGGGACAGGTGGGTAGTGTCTACAGGAACTGTGGCTTCTGGATTGTGTGGGGTCAGTAGTCCGGAAACTGTATGTTCTAAACAGGGTGTGGTGTCTGGTGGTGGACTAAGCCAAGCATCAGCATGAACTGTTTCATTGCCAGTTTTACATGCAGTTGTTAACAGATTAACTTTTCTTGTCTCCCAGACCCTTGATGTTTGCAATTAAATTTAGTACAGCTCGGAATTTTCAGATGCCCAGAAAAGTTTCTTCAGATGTATAACATGGCTTACCATTATTGTTCCTGACTTAGCGATGTTCAGTCCCTGTCACAGTAATTGGTACTGAAATAAAAACCTTGAACCATGGATAGTTGCCTTGGAGGTCAGCCCAATCTTGTCAGCAAGATGGCGCCAAGCTGCCAGCCCATAAGTGGGGTCATTTGGACCCCTCTGGTCACCTCGGTCCCTGGCGATGAAGTGACAGGGCCATGGCCTGAGAGCCAGCCTGAGATTTAGTTGGACGTGGCTGCCTTATAAGGAAAAGGAAAAAAAAAACAACAAAAACCCAGGAAAAGAACTCCTAATCCTGTGTCCCAGGGTTCCTCACTCCGAGAATACGTCCCTCCCTCTGCGCCTACCAAGAAGCTTTCAAATCAAAGCCACGTGTTGTCAGCAATTTATGAATGTGAATAACGTGATTTACATTTCCTTGATTTAATATAATGATTAAGCTTCTTTGTACTTTGCTCCAACTCACTGAAATGAAACAATACATTTTCTTTCAAATCCTTTGTCCTTTATTAGTAATTTTCCCCTTCCAAATTTGCTTGGCTTTGGCAAATGAAAGGAAGATAAATTTTGCTTTGATTTGGTCGCACTGAGAGCTCTAAGGGGAATCAAAACATTAGTTAAACAGCCCGAGGGAGCTGAGTGGGGAATAGGAATTAAGTTAGCCAGAGCAAATTACCTTGTGGCTGTAAATCAACAGGGGTTTAGACAGATGCAAGGAAGTTATTTCTGCTTTCAAATAATCATTTTTGGTTTTCAACAATAGCACCATGCTGTGCTCCCATGGGCCTTTGGTTCTCCACGCCAGCCCTTAATTAAGTGTCTGGGATCGCCATGCTGTGGTGATCGAATGGCCACGGCTCCCTCACCCTCCTCAACTTTGGGTGACCCAGAATTCGCCCCTGAGCGAATTTCTCATTTAAGAAAATATAAAAGCAAAAAAGATGGAAAGAGAGGCTTAGAAAAGTCTAACTAAAGGTGCAGAAGGCAGTAGATTCTTTGAACTAGAGATGGGAAGACAGCCTCCACCATCTGGAAATGAAGGAGCTGGAATGTCCCTGCTGGGAGGCTTCCTGAACTGCAGCTACTTGGCTTGGAGAGGAAGAAAAGTGGAAGGGGAGGAGGAGGAGGGATGCTTGGGGATAAGCCTGGGCAGAGGGAGGAGGCATGCCGACTTCCGGAGGGAAGGATGTGTCTTCCTCTTCCTTCCTGCCCATCCTGGTCTGAGCCACCAGTGGGAAGCTGACACTGGCCACTGGAGCTCGGAGCATAGTTCTGGATCTGTGAGTTCAAGTGAGGCGCTCAGCTCTCTGGTCTCCAGCTCCTTGTGTGCAGAACGGGGTGAGGGTTCTCTGCTGTGCATTTCTCAGAGGACTGTAGGGGGATCAATTAAGAACACAGGAAAAGAATGCTGCGTGATGCTGAAGATGTTGGCAGAAGTGAGAACTTGAGATACCTGATCTTGGTCACAAGAATGGAGTTTCTGGACCTGGCTTCAGGTCAGATTCACTCAAGGTGAGCTTTAAAAAAAATATAACTCATTTCCTTTAGGCCACAGCCTCAGACTGTCAGGGATAAGGCCTGAGGTTGTCCAGACATCAACACACAGCAGTGATAGCAACAGAAACGGGTTTGGAAATGAAAGAATAAAAATGTAAACTCATGAGGTGGTGATGATGATGGAAATAATCACTGAAGTGGCCTTGCAGCGCCAAGTGGGGTGATCTTGCTAGTACAGGGGTGACTGATTGACATCTAGCCTCCCACAGGCTCTGCATAATAGGAGCACGGGGCACAGGTTTTGTTAGAGGACAGATCCCGACTATTGAGAGCAGTCCTTTTCTGCAAAGGAAAGGGAAGAAAATAAACACATTTTAGGGGCCTTTTCTGTCCCATGCATGAGGGGCCTCCTGAACTCCCAGGCCATAGCACCTAGGCCTGGCTGCTCCCCGAGAGCCAATGACAGCTGGGCTAGACCAGCGCACTGTCTTTCTGAGCAGAGCTGGGGTTCCGTGCAGCCTGTGGTTTTTCCTCCGTGTTGAGCTGGCTCCTGGCTCCCAGCACGGCGCATGAACAGCCCTCCTCCATGGAAGTCACGGTGCTTAATTAACTCACTCTGTGAGAGGCTCAGAAGAGACAAGACATTATGATGGAAGATTTTGCAACCCCAAAAAGAAGCAGAAATGTGTGGCCTGCGCTTTAGTCTAAGATCAGTGCAGGATGAGCCTGGATCACCGTGTGCAGCTCACCCTCACCGCTGGGACGGGGCTTGCAAATCGGCTTCCACTGGAGTCTAAGATCAGAGTGGCTTAGACAGTTCTGGTCCCCACCGCAGCTCACTCACTCTTTACAGATCACAGCTGCCAGTTTTAAAGGAGCCACAAACAACTGCGTACTTGCTGCTCAGTTGGGCTGTGAAGAGTTCACACGGGGCCTCTCTGCAAAACCACTGCTGTTAGGACCACATGGGTCACAGTGGGACGCTTCGAACCAGGGGTCTCCAAGAACATTAGAGACACGTTGCAGATGACATCGCTTGCTTCCAGTTGCTTTACAAGCCAAGGGATTTTAACCTCAGTATTATTATTTTTTTTTACCTTTTAATAAAGTAACTCCTGGTTGAAAAACATCCATGGGTAAAAAATAAACCTGAATCAAACTGTGCACCCTTCCCTTGGGTTGTGACAGAGAATGTGAAGAAATGGACCACCCTAGGGTCCGGTCAGGAGAGCAGGGCCCCCGTGAGGATGCAGGGGTCAGAGACCATTGAATGCGAGAGAGGAGGGCCGCATGAGGAGCTTGCCTTGTGAGTCTGTGATCTCCCAGGCTCCCGTAATCACCATGGTCAAGTAAGTTCAAGCTGTTCTGCGATCGTTGATAATGACTAGAGTGGGTGTGCTCACTCGGTGATGCTCAAGGTGCAGTGCAGTTTCTCCTGCTTGTTGCCCTCTGTCTTGGTTACTTTTCTCTCCTTGCTGAGACAAAACACCCAATGCCCAAAATTAAGGAAGGCTTACAGTTTGTGGAGGTTTCAGTCCATACTTGGCTGGCTCCGAGGCAGAAGATAGCAAAGCAACAAGAGCAAAGGGGGGAATGGCAGTGTATGCAAGCCTCTTTCCCTCCCTTGTATTGTAAGCAGGCTGCCCCCACCCAGGGGGCGGCACTCACATCGTTAACCTTCTAAACTTCTCACATTGACACAGTGAACAACACCCTAGAGCAGAAGGGCGTGTCCTTTACACCCCAGGGTGTAGAACTGCTGAGTCACTTAGCCAAACCTGTAGACTCCCCAAGTTGACACAATGTATCAACCATAACACCCTCTCTAGCAGAGAAACACCTCCCTGCTCCACTCCTGTGCTCCCCTCTGCATGAGCCCCGACCTTGTTGTGGGGAGCGGGCTGCAGCCTCCTGACAGCCCCTCCAGCCTGCCCACCTTGCCTGGCACCTCCTGCTCCTCACGGCTAGCTGAGCCTGGATCCAAGCCACCCCTCCTCCTGCAGCCCCCACCAGCCTTGCCCTCCCCTGCACAGGCAGGACCTTGTGCTTCAGCTCTGCTTGCGAGGAGCTGGGAGAACAGACCCTCGCCTGGCCCTGGGCTTCTATTCTGGGTACTCTCATTTCAGGAAAAACCCTCAGAGTTTTCAAATTGCCTTTCACTCCTGCATTCCTCTAGTGCTACATAATCCATTCTCTCTTTTTCCATCAGGTTTTATAAACTATTATTATTTTTAATTTATATTTTTATTAGTCCATGCTTGCAGTGCATAGTGATCACATTTTATGGAGCAAGTTACCAGACTACCCTTGCAGACAGCCAGCCGACACTGCCCTTGCCTTCCCCTAAGCCTGGGCAGCTTTGCTCTTCCCGTTGCTTCTCTTGCCATGCTTGCTGTGCCATGTCTACACTGGCTTATGCTGGGGCCACACAGGCACACGGTGTCCTTCACCTCAGGAGCAGGAGAGGACTTCACTTGACCTTGCTGTCCCCAGCTGGTCCTCCCAAGGGACTGTGGTGCGGAGCTCCCCACCTGGAGCATCCTGCAGGCTGGGGTTTTACCAGTCAGAGTTTGAGAGTCCTGGTGTCCTCAGCCTTCAAGGTGGCCAGAGGGCACCACAGGTGTGGCCATTACCCATTTCCTGTGTGCTGTATGAAAACAGTGACCTTCCATGTGTGCCACGGGCAGCAGGCATCTGGGGAGCCTACTAGCACCATTGCTTTGCTCACAGTTGCAGCTTCCTGTACAAAACACTTGAGGTAATAAAAAGAGGAAAGGTTCATTTTGGCTGACAGTCTATGACTGATGGACCCCGTGGCTTTGGGCACCCACGTCATGGAGACAGTGCGTGGCAGAGGAGGCCCATTACCTCATGGCCCAGAAGCGAGGGAGGAGGAAGAGGAAGAGAGGGGGCCCCATATCCTTGTGGAGGCCACGCCCCATGACCTCACTTCCTCCCACCAGGCCCCTTCCTGAAAGTTTCCCCCACCTCCTGATGGTGGCCTGGGCTGGGGTCCGAGCCCTCAGCTCGGGGGCCAAACCACAGTGCTCAGACGGTAGAACTCTTCTGGCTTCCTAGTGGCAGGATCCAGCTTCCTTCACCATCTCCCGCACTGCAGTTCTTCATCCTGTCTCCATCACTGGCCACGTGACTCCATGTTGGCAGTTCCTTCCTCGTCCTCTCTGACTTGCCCAGCACCACGTGCTTCCCGCATCCTCCTCCTCCCCTCCTCCACCCCTCCTCTGACTGTTTGTTTGAGGTCCCTCACCTTAGCCTTTGCACTCTCCCCATTTCAGAGGTGAAGCCCTCCTGCCTGGCTTCCATTCCCGTCTCAGCGGGGAAGCCTGTCCAGGACCTGCTACCAGTCCTGCCCTCTCCGAAGCCCCCGGGCTCCGCAGCGTCCACTAGGCTGCTGATCTCGTGTTGCCTGTGGTCCCCATGTATTCCGTGTGTTCCCGGCCCAGCTCAGGGCCTGCCCAGCTCCTGTCTTTGTCGTCTACCTCGTGACTTCCTTGGCATTTGGGCTCCTCCCCTCCACATCCTTTACAGGACACAGCTGACCACATCTCCCTCTGACTGGCCCCACGCTGTCCGCAAAACGGCTCGGATCCTTCAGCGTGGCGCTGGCGCCACACAGGGAGCTCCTGGCCTCAGGGCCAGCCTCCTTTTCTGCCATCCCAAGGGAGCTTTGGGGGGCCACCGGGACACAGCTATAACACACTGCCATTGTTTTATTCTTCATTAGTTGTCCTATTAATTTTTTTAAATTTATTTTTATTTCTTAAATTTATTTTTATTTTTTAATTTATATAATTTTTTGGGGGGTCCCAGGAATCAAACTCAGGACCTTGTGCTTGCCAGGCAGGCGCTGTGCCATTGAGCTGTGTCCCCAGCCCTAGTTGTCCTTTTAGAGCAGTTGAAATCAGATCGTTAACTTAGCTTCTTCAGCCTAATTTGCTGTGTGAATGTGCATTGCTTGGAAGAAAGGGCTCGCTAGCCGGCGTTCTGGAGGGCTGACGATGCACGTCTCCGTGAGTGCATCTTCAGAAACCTGACCTCGAACCCAGACAGCGCCATAGCCGGGAACTCTGCCCTGCCTGGCTGTAAGCATGCGTGTCCTCCTGTCTGCAGTGTGGACCCGCCCCAGCCTGTTTATATTCTTCTGTCTGCACACACACAGGATCCAAAGGTCATGGAAGGATCGGGGTTTTTTCATACTATTTAAATGAGCTAATGCCATGCCATTCACTTTGAAATCTTTGGGCTTCTAGAACTTGCAGGGCTCTGGGACAGCACACCTCAGCAGACAGCAAGTCCCTGCCAGAGGTCCCAAGTCCTCAGGGACCCCGAGACCTGTCCTTGGGTCCCCCCAGCCTCCTCTCCCCAGCTGGTCACAATCCCGTTTCCTCTGGCTGCCACACTGGTTCCATGTGCCAAGGGACGTCTATTCTATTTAGGTTTCTTGACAAGACTTTCTGGAAGTATTTTCAGCATGCAGATTGCCTATTCCCCTTGTCACACTGGGTGGCAATTAAAAGGGCTCTTAGGAAACTTGGAAGGAGGTCAGTTCTCGCACTGGGTCCTCAATACTCCATGTCGCCCTGACTGCACTTAACAAAACTGGGCCTTGGTGCTTGCCTGTCCCCGGCAAACTGGAGCTTAACCCCTGCCCACCCGGCCCGTCCTTTCCGGGGCCAGGTCTCTACACACAGGGCAAAGGCTCAGGGGGTTCCAGGCGCTGGGGGGAGGGGAAAGGCATAGCAGCCGCCCTCCCTGGCTCCTCACCCCACACAGGATGGGGGTGATGTAATATCGTGTTTAATACGCTCACGGCCCTGAAATAATGTGTCTCGTTTTAACCATAAAAGTCCTTACCACAAAGAAATGTGACTGACTTCTACAACCTCAAAATGTGTTTCCCCTCTAGCTGGATGGCTCCAGAGGGTGAGGGGCTGAGAATTCCGGCAGCACTGTGCTCGCTGGTGTGTTTTGGGTCTGTGGGCTGACACACAGTGGACACACGCTTGACTCTCCCGAGATACCCTGTCATCTTTGTTAGGTGGGGGCGACTGCGTGTGCAGGAGTGTGAGAGGCCACAGCCAGGTCTCACTCTTCCCTTCCTTTTTATTTTCACACAGCTCGGATTCACTCGGAGTCACCCATGTGGAGAGAAGCTGGGGACAGAGCCGGGTGGGACGACCTTGGCCTGGGCCCTGCACCTTGCTTTGGGTAATAATGCAATGTAGTCTGGCAAGTACCCCACAGGAGGGAGTGGGGAACGGCCTCTCCCTGGAGCCACCGACAGCAGGAGCAGGTGCTGAACCCCTGGTGCCCCTCGGCTTCCCTGTGGGTGGCGGGGAGGGCCGGGGACCGAGCACCTGCTGTTCTGCGAGGAAGCCGTGCCTGCTTTTCTGTACCCTGTGCTCAGCCCAGTCTGGCTACCCACGGCGGGGCTGGCCAAGCCTCTCGCCTCTCCTCCGCCCTGCAGTCCCTCTCCCTCACGGGGTGGCAGTGGGCAGCACAGCCTGGGGTGTGGCTTTGGGCCTGGAACAGAGGAATAGGAGAGGATAGGTTGCCACCGAGGGTGCCAGCTTTGGCCAGGGCTGCAACCTACCTGGGCACATTCCTTCTGGTGGCATCCAGGGGCGCGGGCTGTGCTCCCAGTGCAGTGCTCCTTGGCCTCCTTCTGCGGGACCAGCTCCCGCAGGAGGTGGGAGAGATGCCCTTGTTCCATCCAGCGCCCCACACATGCCGTCGTTTCTGGCAGCAGGTCCTCCTCCACTGCACAGAAGAGGCAAGCCGTACTCAGCAGGGCTCAGCCGTTTGCCCCAAGTCTAACATTCTTTGGTTATAAACCGGGGTGGGGTTGGGGCTGGCTGGCACTCACCCCCAGAGCCAAGGACTCATCTCTGACCCCACACAGTGATGTCAGAGGAGCCACCATGGGAGAATTTACACCGTGGAAATTGACAAGAGCACTGCAAACCAGGGCGTTTCTGTCCCCACCGCAGAGCTGTTGCTTAACATTCACCAGAACACCAGATCAGCCCTTCCCTGTGCCGTGCGGTCCTGGGAGCCGGACATCTGCACGCATGGCTGGGCTGAGTGTATCGGGGATGTGCTCCAGGGTGGGCTGGGAAGCTGGCACACGCTGAGACCAAGTCCCCGAAGGAGAAGCCCCTGGGGTGGATGTGCTTTGGCCCCGCTTGCTGGCTGAGCACACGAGATCTTCCCCGGAGGAGATTGGGAGTGGGGACCCTGCAGATGCCGCAGCTGGCTCCACAGGGAGAGTGCAAAAGGTGCGGGACAGCGGGAGTCCACGCCCTGAGGTCGGCCTTGGGAAGTCCATGATACTAAGGTGTGGACCCAGGGCAGTGACCCAACATCTCCTGTGGCGGACGGCTGCATTCTTATAACACCCGGCAATTAGCAGTATGCCTCTGCTTGTCTGTTCTCCCCACTAGGAAGCCCGCTACAAAGGAGTGCAATACTGAGTCCAACTCTACCCCAGAAGCACCTGCTGCTGACACTGAAGAGAAGTAGAGTGGTGAAGAGAAGGGGTCTGAGTCTGGTTCACATCCGGCCGTGCTTTGAGCTTGAGGTTCTTACGTATCAAGTGTTCAGGGTCCCCTCGGTGGGATGGGAACGAACAGCATTCTCTCTCTCACAGACTTCACACAGGTGCTCAGCACAGTTCTTGGTCTACAGCTCAGCAGGGGAAGTAGCTACTCACAGCAGCGATGGACAGGGAGTGGGGCTTTTGGTGCTGTTATTACGGGTATTTAGAAGCCCCACTGAGGCAAGAGCTACACGATTAAACAGTCACACCTCAGGGGTCAGGCGGCAAAGAGTCTGGCGAGGCCACCAGGACTTGGGAACGGCGGCTGCCCGCGGGTGTGAAGGGAGAGCCCCAGCCCCGGACTTGTTCCAGAGACAGTCCCTCGGCAACAGTGTCATCAAACAAAGGGAGGACAGTGCGTGGAGCCCACGAGGGGTGGAGGAGGACCGGGACGAGGAAAGTGCGTGGAGCCCACGAGGGGTGGAGGAGGACAGGGATGATCAGCGCCGGCTGGCCTGCCCTGTTCCTGTTGATTTTCATGTGGGTGACAGTGGGGCAAGGACCCCTGCTCGTGCCTGGTGTTTCCAGGAGCCGTGGCACCATGGGGAGGGGAAACCCTTTGGTTCGGACAGAGCTAATGGAAGTGGGTTGTGTTCAGGGCGCCCGGTCATGCAGGGCAGTTTCCTCTCTGTTGGCCTCAGTGTGGAAACGGGTGCCTGCTTATCACATAATAAAAACACCCTTGAGGACAAATGCTGCACCACTGACTTTCCAGCCTCTTTGAAGAATTCCCCAAGTGTTGAGGGACTTTGGAATTAGACTGAGAAGCTTACATAATGACTAATTTGGTTGCTGCTCGCTGTGCCCCCAGAAGACGGGATTTGTCTGGATTTTTCCGGGCGTTGCAGATAGGGAGGTGTGGCCGACCTTCTACAGAGCCCAGACTCCCAAAAGTGAGGATGTTACTGGAAGGAAGACTGCCTGGGAAAGTAGGAGACTCCGCGACTGTCACTGCGAATCAGCTTTCTGCGTGTGGGCGGCTCCCCCCACGCCCGGCAGGCCTCGACCCCTCGATCCTGAGAAGCCCTCAGAGTTCTGGTGAAATCCCATCACACAGTGCGAGTGCCTGCTTTCAGGTGGTCCCAGAGTCCACGTTTCATTTCTCCCGAGTCACCAAATGATGCAAATTAATTTTGTTTTTTGTTCTCACCTCCTGCCAAAGCTGTTCCAATAGGTGTTTGCTCCCATTCCTCATAGTCTTGCTGGAACCGTGGTACCGAAGACTGAGGTCTGGGTATTCTAACAGCACTACAGCCCTTGCCTTGTGGAATAGTGCATTTTGAACCAAGGTGACATGTTGCATAGCTTTCTGTGCCCATGAAAATAAATGGCATAAAATTTCCACTGTGGGTGGGAGAGGTTATTGTTCAGTACAACCCGACCGGGGCCTTGCGACCTCATTGTGAGTGCTGTGTTATGCCAGGAACCTGTGTCTACCTCACACGTCCTCGTGTGGCGCAGACAGGATGACTGTTCTTTTCCTGAAGGAACCACATGTTAAGAATGATGCTTATGAAAATAGCACCCACACTGCTCATGGTCCTGGGTTCAAATCTCCTTTAGATTGGAAGGAGCTGAGCAGGGTGACCATACTCACCGTCCCCATTCCCATGCTGCTCCGCTCCTGCTGGGTCTCACATTCCTCGACCCAGCTCACACAGCTCAGCTTCCGAGGAGCTCCCTGCAAGGTGGGAGCTGTGCTGAGGGGCTAGGCCGGGTGCGGGCACATGGACTGGTCAGGCTGACAAGCGGCTTGGTGCTCAGTCTGAGAGATCTGGCCACATGGCTGAGCACCCTGGATGGGCGTGGGCACAGCCACCCTCCCCGTGGCCCAGGCCGAGGGTCATGTACTCAGGCAGAGCCGAGGCCGCTTCTCTTTCTCCTGTGCAGACAGCTGTGACCCTGCAAGAGGGGCTTGGAGAGAAGAGGTCGCAAGAGAGCGCTTCACACAGTCGCACCGGAGCTAGAGCCAGGCCTTGGTGTTGTCTACACTGTACCTGGACCTGCATGTCAGGACCTCCGTGTTCCTACAGAGTCAGGGACCAAGCTGGAGAGGGACCTGGCTCGGGGTCTGGCTTCAGTGTGCAAAAGTGCAGAGGGCAGGGGTCTGAGCTCTCAGTCTACGTGGCTCCACTGGCCAGGTAAGCACCCAGGTTAGGACCTATGCACATTTTTAGAGAGATCTTAGGCCTTTGTTGAAACAAACGCTTCTTCCTTTGGGGCCGAAATATAACCCATGTGCGGTGGGAGTGACTCGGGAACTCACCTGATCGTTCCGTGTTTTGCCTATTTCACCAACTTGCTTGAAGACAGAGCCTTGGCAGCCTAAGCACAAAGAATCTTCAAGATGGAAGAGAGGAGTAAGGCAAGCGGTGTGCTTGTGGGCTCTGCGAAGCCACAGGAAGGCACAGGGAAAGCTACGGGGACAGAGACAGAGGCTGGAGTGACATGCTGGGAGCCAAGAGGCACTGGGGGCAGTCGGCATCCACAGGGGCCCCGGTGGCTTCTCCCTTGGTAGCTCCTACCCAGACCCTCAGCAGACACCCTCACCTGCACTATGGACACCCTGACCAGCACTGGGGACACCCTGACCTGCACTGCAGATGCCCTGACCTGCACTATGGACACCCTGACC